ATTTTAATGTCAATTATATAGACTTTATTTTATGCATATACAAGTGTAAGACTTGATTTTGAGCTATTATTAAGCATTTGCATCTATATTAAGTGTGTGGCCTGCAAAGCTTACCAAAACTCGTGAAGTGGCCCGCTAGCCAAAATAATTGCCCATCCCTGCTCTGGGCAGACACTCCAGTACAGTGCTGGGGAGTACTGGATTTTTGGAGGTGCTGCTCTTGCATGAGATGTTAAACCAAGGTAGGTCCTGTTTGCCTGGACGTTAAAGATTCCATAATAGTATTAGAAAAAAGAAAGGGAGTTTCTCCTGGTGTCCTGGCCAGCAAACCCCCAGAAAAAGTGTTCATACGCCGATGCCAGTCGAATCAGAGGCCCCAGGTGGTGGATTGGTGAGTGAGGAGGTTGGAGAGGTAGGGAGGTTCCAGAGAGTGAAGGGATTTGAACACGAGTGTGAGGATCTTGAAGTCGATCCGTCCGGTGTTGGGGAGCCAGTGGAGTCTGGCCAGAACTGGTGAGATGTGGGTACGAGTTTATACTTTCGATATAATTTATACATTATACATGTACGATGTAATGTACATTCGGAGGCGGGCAATATGGCAGAGGTGGAAGAAGGCGGTCCTGGTCTGGGACCGGATGTGGAGGGAGGACTTAAGAACCAAAACAGACTAACAGCAACACCAACAGAATTGTTGAATTGTTGGGCGTCGAGTTCAGTCAGTGAACAGTCTAATAACTTGAAGTTTAGTGAATAACTCACGGCAAGTAAATAGTTAGTCATTAACAGCATTGTCAAATTTGCTAAATTCATTCGAAATGTCTAAGCGCTAATACACTCTACAAGAATATTCACGGTATTAACTGGAAGTTGCTGAAAGATGACCGTTAACAAAACAAGAAGGAACACAACCAGCGATAATTTGTCAGAGACTTCAGAACTGGGAACTATAGAGGAACTGGTTTCCTCAATTTCGGCAATCTGCTGTCTGATCAAAGAGTTCGGATTTTGAGAACTGACACTGAACTATTACACAAAGGGTACAACAACAACATCTTGCATTTATATAGCGCCTCATGCAGGTTAGTGTCCCAGAGCCTTTGACATTGGCAGAACACGACGTCGAGCCAAGGGCGTGACCGTAGACACGGTCAAATAGAAAGGTCTTCAGGCGCGACCTGTAGATACTGAAGGAAGCGATAAGGTGGAGGAATAGAGGAACAGTGTTCTAGAATTTCAGGGCATAGTGGCTGAAAGCATGACCACCGATGGTTGGAGCGGAGGGCCTTGAGGGGCATGCAGAAGGCCGGAGCCAGCTGATCACTTGTTTCCTGCACACTGGGCTGGCTTTTGCACTAAAATGGCTGACTTTGCACGTGCAAATCAAATCAGGAAGCAATCTCAATTTTGATCTGGGAATCAGCTTTCACTTCCTGCTTTGCGCATACAAAGCAAATGGTAAGCAATATCGGTGATAACATTACCTAATGATTTTGAAATCGGCCATTTTTCTATTAGCAATAGAACTAATCCAGGGAGCGAGTTGGCTGGATGCACGCATGTTCAGTGAAACTGTTTTATGTCACCTTATTACAGTGCGGGTTGGGATTTTATGAATCTCAAACATGAGGGTCCACTGCATTACACAGGCGAGAATCAAGAGTTGGAATGGGTTACCACAAAAGGTGGTAAAGGCCAGGACACCAGCAACATTTAATAAACAGCTTAATGCAATCACGGGAAGATGGTCATGTTTGGATTTTGAAAAGATGAGATCAAATAATCTAAATGCCCTTCTTCATTCAGACTTCTCTTGCGATCTTAATTTCACACAATCATTCATGATCTCGTAATTATACTAAAACTAGTCTAGTTTTCAATTTCTTTAAGCTAGAGAAAACTCTAAAACAGAGCTAAACTACAAATTGAGAAGTAAACGTTGCTTTGTCATATAGACATCAAACGCCAACTTTTAACAAATATGATAATCCTGATAATAGAACTTTGCTACGGTTTTGTTTTAGTCGCAGCTAATGACGTGGGAAAATAATCCTGAAACCGAGTTAACACTATGGTTGCTGGCAAACATTATTATCTTTGCACACACAAACATTGTTAAATAATGACAGTAGCAAAATGAACAGTTTCTGTCCAGGCTTTGACCACTCTGTTTTGCACATTGTTACAAGTGCTGCACTTCACTCTCCAGTTCACAATCAGTCTGCAACCAGTCCATAACCATCCCAAATCTTAATCTATTTGAAGGGAATGTTTGACACTAGAGCAAAACTAAACACAATGGCAACTGCGAAGCACAAAACTTGTTCAGCGAGGCACCACCCTACCAGGTAGGTCTGTGACTCATACAGATAAATGCATGTCTCCCAAGTCTCACTTGACCTGTCAGTTATCAGCAATTCCTGGGATTCCATCAAACTGCTCTAGTTAGAGGACCACTTTCCTCTGTCAGAACAGCCCAGTTAGACCCCACTTATCATTCCTGCCCCCTCCTCCAAAAGGATTAAGGATTCTTTAGTCAATGCACTCATTTTACTGACCTGGGCCAAGTAAAGTGAGATTTATACTCAAATCTTTTAGGCCTCTAGCCTCAGCCAAATAAGCAACTCGAGATGCTAAGCAAACCTAAGAAGTAACTTGTTATGAAATAAATTTTAATCAGAAGCCTTCATCCTTGCAAATCAATCAATGCAATCTAATAGAAAGCACAAAACCTGAACAAGCACATGGTTTAGAGGGAATAGAGAGATATGGGAGAGCGGATTAGGAGGGGTAGAGGAAATTCATTTGGAATATAAACATTGGCACAGACTTATTGGGCTGAATTGCCTGTTTCCATGCTAATTCTATATATGGGCTGATGATTACACTACCAAGCAACAACAAGTTAAAGGCTTTGCAAGCGGTCAGCAAGCGAAACGTAAGTCATTGTGAATGCATCTTGGGAGGTGAGGGGCTCAGCAGGGTAATATCTTTGAATAAGCTTCAGCCTATATTCTTCTTTCGTCAGGTACAACAACAACAATATTATATTTGTATAGTGCTTTTCACGTCAGGAGGACGTCCCAAAGCGCTGGACAATTAGTGTTTCAGACCCGAGCTGGGGGTCGGGATCGGGGAGGGTGGAGGGCAGGGGAGGAAGAAGGGTAACCGAAGGCATGGTTGAAGAGGAGGGTCCTGAGATGGATCTTGAAGGGGACAAGGGAGGGGGCGAGGTGGAGGGTCTGCGGGATGGAGGTCCCACGGGGTGGGGGCAGAGTGCCTGAAAGTCCACCCGCCAATGATAGGGCGGGCGTGGCGGGAGACGTGAAGCAGGCTGGAGCCTGCTCAGTGGCAGTGGAGGGAACGGGCAGGTTGGTGGGGGTTTAGGAGGTCGCAGAGGTTGGGAGGGAGCTGTGGGGGTGAATGTGGGAGTAAAGCCATGGAGGGCTTTGAAAGTGAGGACCAGGATCTTGAACTGTGTCCTCTGTATGATGGGAAGCCAGTGGAGTCGGGCGAGGATGGGGCTGATAGGGTCGCGGAACCTGGTGCGGAAGAGAACGCAGGCTGCAGAGTTCTGGATAAGTTGCAGCCTATGGAGGGAAGAATTAGGGAGGCCAACGAGCAGGGAGTTTGCAGTCGAGCCTAGATGTTATGAATGGGTGTATGAGGGTCTTGGCGGCCTGCGGTGTGAGACAGTGGCGGAGCCGAGCGATGTTGGAGAGTTAAGTTTTATCCTGCCGTTGTAATTTTATCCTGCCGCTGTGCTAGGCTGGCTGTGCTGTCATCAGCAGTGCCTTAGAGTACATGTCCAACATGTAATTATTGTTGTGATAAATACAAGACGGGGCTTGGATGGGCAGACCAGTGACTGGGGGCAGGGAATTATCCTATTCAGCTCCTGTTAACCTGGCAAGCAAATGCCCTAATCGGTAGGGTGTATCAATGGCAAACATTTCGGTATTAGAAGGTTAGGCTCCAGCAGTACCCCAAGGTCCTTGGCATTTGCCAACCTACTTCTAATACTTTCCAGAATGATGTCAGCAGGATGCATCCCTCCAGGGAGGGAATGCACATTCCATTTCAACAATCCATCTCTGGGATTTCCATGTGTGTGTAGGTGGGATGCATGGAATTCTCAGTTTGGTTTGGATACTCTTAAGCATGGTGATGGGTTTTCGCATGTGTGAGACACCTGGCTGGCCAAAAAAAAACTTATCCTTCTCCCTCTGCGCTAAACTGGAGAAGAGCAGTAATTTCCCGTCACTAATAGACTGCATGCTCTCAGAAATCAGATGATTTGAGCTTGTGACTCAAGTTCACACTACCACTGTAACATATGTTTCCCTATTAACCCTGCAACACACAGCAAACAGAAGCCCAATGAGATCAGCACAAATATTATTCAAAATATATCATATAATCATCCTTGCAATTGATATAGAGCCTTATCGCGTCATCGATAACTCTCAAAGCGCTTCCCGGAATACACTGTGAAGTGGTTGACTGTGTATTTGTGGGCGAAACATTACACAACATGACACATTACTGGCTGCAGAATTACTAAAATAGCCAGTCTCCCAGCAACAACTTCAATCTCTTTCGGGCGAAAAAAAAATCCCTGACCCTAAAAAAAAAACAATTTGGAAATGCCCTCTGAATACTTTTAAAACTTTTTTTTTAAAAAAATATAAATTTTCATGTATGCATAAATAAAAAAGGGTGGGGGGGTGGGGAAAGAAAATAGCAACAGTGCATCAGGGTCAAGTGGAGATGAAGGGCTGTGATTTTAAACCCAGTTTGCTGTACAGGAGAGGAATAAACTCCAACCCACTCAGCAGGAAGATTGGATCATTTAATGGGAAGAAAACAAGCGCAGTTGCAGTCGCTCTGGGGGTTGGTCTGGTGGGAATTTGTCTCCCCTACACATCTGGTGGCAAGTGCCACAGCCTGGGTTCAAGGTTAAATATTACCCCCAACTTTCCCCCACAAGCAAACCTTACCTGACGAGACGCTTTGATTTTCAACTCGCAATCCACAAGCTGTGTCTGTCTGTGTCTGTGTCTGTCTGTCTGTGTCTGTGTCTGTGTGTGTCTGTCTGTCTGCCTCCAGCAAGAGAACCACTCTGCAAAGCAGATAAGAGAAAAGGAAAGGTCGGATTCTCTTCCTGCAATTCCCTCCTGCCAGACAGAAACACAAGGAAAAGGAAGAACGATTGCAATGCAATGCAATGCAATGCAAGGGAGGGAGGGAGGGAGGGGAGGAAAACAACCACAGCCACTGACTTCCGCGTCCCAAATCCTGGTGTGTGATATGATTGACAGATGAGCTCCACTAAGGTGGAGCTTCTCTCAACTCTGCTCCCCATGAAATTCCTCCACTGCATTCAGCTGTCAGGGCTCTACTTTCACTTTGGTTTTGCAATGAGTAACTTCTTGCCTCGTTAAAATTATATATGTAGATGTATATCTATCTATCTATTTTTTTTTACATTAAAAAAAAACATTGTGATCTTTAATAACAATCCTTGCAGACGTGTAACAAGAGACGTGTAAGAAGCTTCAAAAATGCACGTCTGCTCTTTCTGACTTTCGGATCTCAGTTTTTTTGAGGAAGTGCCAAGTGGTCAATATTTCCAGTGTAGATCAAGAGCTATGGAGGAGGCGGGGGCGGAGGGGGTGGAGTTAGGGAGGTGCCAGGGCACAAAGAGATTTAAAGACCAGTGTCAGGAACTTGAAATATGTCCATTTTGTTTTCAAGGACATTTGAGAAGTCGAGGCATGGATGAGTGTTTCAGCTGCGTTTGAGGTAAAGTATGGTCAGAGCCAAGCAACGTGACGGAGGTGGAGGAAAGCAGTCATGGTCATGGACCGGATGTGGGTAGGATCGAGGAGGGAGAGGTGTGTATGAAGCTGACTTGTAACAAAGTGTTCCAGGGCTTTGGCAAGGAAGCACAGGTTAGAAATGGGATGGCAGTTTGTGAGGTTAGAGGGATTGAGGGTGTTTTGTTTTAATACCAATTGATCATGTATTCGAGTACGGCCCAAGAGAAGACATCGAGAGAATTGATTTGAAGATACAAGGGGCATTCAGTCCCAATTATTACTTCTTATCGGTACATCAGGATCGGGGTGGACACCAACTTCAGCCTGGATACTGTCGTGAAGGAGAAGCAGCAAAGGGCACTTTTGTTATGCTCATCCCTCTTCAAGGACACAAGGTCCCAATGCAGTTCAGGCTTGTGGCAAACAAGACCTGCGTGCAAGACAGCGCTCCTTGATGGATCTGAGCTCCTGGGGATGCAGTGGAGAGGCTTCCTCCAACCCACTTGCAAAATCCAGGATCAAGCAGTGAGGTGGATTTTGTGGCAAACATGGGAAGTGGCTGCAGGGAGGGAGGGCTCCGGCCTACAATGACCTGACACTAAACACCCTGGAGGCGGAGGTGGCTTCACAGTGGACACGTCCATTTGCTAAGGCCCCTCGCATGAGGACTTGTATTAAGCAGTTGGTGCTGAATAAGCCTGGTACACGACATTGGAGTTGGACTCGAGAATATCGAGGTGGCTGTCCTATCACAAGCTGCCCTGTAAATGTCCTTCCACCACACTGAAGGCCAATGAACCAGGCTGCCGGATAGCTGATGAGGAAACTCTGAGGCTTGGGGTGACAGCTGCCTGGAGTCCGAGCTTGTGAACGCACATTCATATGTCCAGCATCTGGAATCCACCTTGCTTGGCCTGCACAGAAGCAAACAGCTGCTGCTTAAACTCCGCGCCTCCAACTGGTAGAACCATTGCTCAATGGGAAGGGACGTGTGCCTTAGCTGCAGGCAGGGTGACTGTTGCAATGCTCTTATGCATTATGCTTCTTATGCACCAGTCACTGGAGCTGAAATAGGTCCAAGGTGATATTTTTGGCAACGGAATGTCGGAATTGAGCCAGCCCTCTGTGCCAGTCTTGGTAGTTCAGTTCCTGAGCCAGTCGGGTGCGCAGTATTCCTGATGACAGTACAGCCAGCCTGGTTCATTGGCAGGACCTGCAAGGGCAGACCAGTCACTGGGAGCAGGGAGTCATCCTACTCAGCTACTGTTAATCCTGCAAGGCAAAGCTCTAGAGCAGGGGTGGGTAATTATTTTGGCTAGCGGGCCACTTCACAAGTTTTGGTAAGCTTCGCAGGCCACACACTTAATATAGATGCAAATGCTTAATGACTAACTATTTACTTGCCGTGAGTTATTCACTAAACTTCAAGTTATTAGACTGTTCACTGACTGAACTCGACGCCCAACAATTCAACAATTCTGTTGGTGTTGCTGTTAGTCTGTTTTGGCTCTTAAGTCCTCCCCCCACATCCGGTCCCAGACCAGGACCGCCTTCTTCCACCTCTGCCACATTGCCCGCCTCCGAATGTACATTACCCCAAATGCGGCTGAAATCCTCGTGAATGTGTTTGTCACCTCCCGCCTGGATTACTCGAATGCGCTCCTTGCCAGTCTTCCCAGCTCCACTATTCATAAGATCCAGCTCATTCAGAACTCTGCCGCCCGCATACTGACTCAGACCAAACTCGTACCCACATCTCACCAGTTCTGGCCAGACTCCACTGGCTCCCCAACACCAGACGGATCGACTTCAAGATCCTCACACTCGTGTTCAAATCCCTTCACTCTCTGGAACCTCCCTACCTCTCCAACCTCCTCACTCACCAATCCACCATCTGGGGCCTCTGATTCGACTGGCATCGGCGTATGAACACTTTATCTGGGGGTTTGCTGGCCAGGACACCAGGGGAAACTCCTTTTCTTTTTTCTAATACTATTATGGAATCTTTAACGTCCAGGCAAACAGGACCTACCTTGGTTTAACATCTCATGCAAGAGCAGCACCTCCAAAAATCCAGTACTCCCCAGCACTGTACTGGAGTGTCTGCCCAGAGCAGGGATGGGCAATTATTTTGGCTAGTGGGCCACTTCACGAGTTTTGATAAGCTTTGCGGGTCACACGCTTAATATAGATGTAAATGCTTAATAATAGCTCAAAATCAAGTCTTACACTTGTATATGCATAAAATAAAGTCTATATAATTGACATTAAAATTAGGTTAAATAAAAACAACTCATTGAGCAGACATTTATTCAATATTTATTCATTTCTTCATATATTGATGAGAAGGTGAGAAGCTCACTCAATGGGAAGAATGAAAGCGCTGATGTGCGTTAACCAGACAATTGAAGTCAGGCATCGTCTCCATCGTCTCGAGTATAGCCAGAAGCCATACTCTTTGGCTCTCGTCAACGTCTAAAATCACATGGTTCTCACCTCCTCCGCCTACCCGACCTTCCCCTAAAACTCCGAACCCGTACGCAACCTAGGCGTCAGATTCGACCCCCCAATTATCCTTCCTCCCCCACATCTGGTCCCTCATCAGCACCGCTTTCTTCCACCTCCGACGCATCGCCCGTCTCCGCCAATACCTCACTCCAAAAGCCGTTGAAACCCTGGTCCATGCCTTTGTCACCTCTTGGCTGGACTATTCAAATGCCCTTTTCGCCGGTCTCCCCTCCATTACTATGCATAAAATCCAGGTCATCCAAAACTCTGCCCTCCCGCATTCTTACCCGCAGAAAACTCCGCTCCCCGATTACCCCAGTCCTTGCCAGACTGCACTGGCTGCCTGTCCCAGAGAGGATCGACTTCAAGATCCTGACCCTTGTCTTCAAATCCCTCCACTCCTCTGCACCCCCCTATCTCTCCGACCTCTCTCCTCACAACAGTGCCTGTTGCCTTCGCTCCACTGGGTCTGGCCTCCTTCTTGTCCCCCAAATCCTCCGCTCCACCATCGGCGGCCGTGCCTTTAGCCACTACGCCCCGAGCCTCTGGAACGCCCTTCCTCACTCCCTTCACCTCGTCCCTTCTCTTCCTATTTTCAGGTCTCGGCTGAAGACCTTTATTTTCGACCGCACCTTTGGTCACCTTCCTCCCTCTTCCCCTTGGCTCGGCCCCGGGATCCCTTACTGTGAAGTGCTTTGAGATGCCATCCGGCGTGGAGGGTGCTGTATAAATCCAAGTTGTTGTTGTTGCAGTAATCTGCTGCAAAGTTGGAAAGTGGGCGAACTGCCTGTTTCCTCTCTGAAGCAATAAAAGAAATAATTTCGTCATGAATGGCTTGACACTGCAATACAAATTGTGCACATCTTCCTTTGCAGATTTGAATTCAGTTCATTCACGTGGCCCATGATGTCAACGGCAAATGCAAAATCTGAGAGCTAATTCTCATCATTCAGCTGTGGGAAATCAGAATTTGTTGTTTCACGCTCAAAAAGAAATCAATCTCTGCTCTCAGTTTCCACACTCTTTTCAAGAACTTTCCTAAACTAAGCCATCTTACATTTGTGTGATAGAGAACATGCTCGGATTCCAATTCCTCAAGCAGAGTTACAAATTGCCTGTGGTTTAATCCTCTTGCTCCAATATAGTTGACCACTTTCGTAACTGTGTCCATGACATTGCTTAGTTTTAGACCACTCTTACTGAGGACCTCTTGGTGGATAATGCTGTGTGGAAAAACAACATTCTGTTCTGGATTTGTTTCTTTGACTTGATCTTGAATTCTTTTTAGTAACCCAACATTTTTGCCTGTCAGATTTGGGCTTCCATCGGTGGTGAAATTCACAAATTTTTTCCACTCCACTCCTAATTTTAAGATACACTTATTTACTGCCTCCAAAAAGTCTTCTACAGTTGTCTTATCTTTCATTGACTGCATTGATAACAATTCTGTGAGCTCAAAATGTTTGGTGATATCTGAAATAAAAATTATCAACTGGGATGTGTCTTTGACATCACAACTCTCATTGAGTGCCAGTGAAAAACATGCAAAATTGCTTACTTTATTTTGTAACTGCAGATACAGGCTCTCAGAGGTATCCTCGACACGTCTCACAATAGTTCTTGACAAGCTAATGTTCTCAAACTTGTTTCTTGTCTGAGCATAAAATCGAGGCAGAGTCAACCATATAAATTCATACAAAACCTTTATAAATTCTCCTTCTGAGAATGGTTTGCTGTTCTTGGCGATTTTGTGTCCAATCACATAACTCACTCTTGTAATCTCATCCTGGAATGCAAATTGTGTTGTGTAAATGCTTTGCTCTTTTTGCATTCGAACAACCATCTCATCAGGGGAGGGAAGGGAGGGAGAGAGGAGGGGGGAAATGGTCAGGGTGAGGGGAGGGAAGGGAGGGAGCGAGGAGGAGGAAGAGAGTCGAGAGGGGAGCTGAAGGCACGGTCAAAGAGAAAGGTTTTGAGACCGGCCTTGAAGGAGGAGAGGGAGGAGGCAAGGCGAAGGCACTGGAGGATAGAGTTCCAGAGCCTCGGGGCTGAGAGGCTGAAGGCCCGACCACCAATGGTAGGGCGATTGGGGCGGGGGACGTGGAGCAGACCGGAGCCGG